GTAGCATGCAAGAAAGCTCTTGCACCTACAAACATAGGTTTAATTGCACTAGATCCATGACTTTTTACTGGATTAATTTCACTCTTAATTATGATTTTAAAGAAGTCAAGGGTATGAGAAATCCAATTTATGGAAGGATTATACTTTTCTAATGATGATAAACCTAAGATGATTGGATTAAAAATAGATTTGATTATATTAAAGATTAGGCAATTACTATGACCATTTATTTCTACATCTATAAGAAGTGTTTCATGAGTAATATCTCTAAAAGATAATAGACGACCATCTATAACTTCTACATGAACAGGTTTGATTTTTTGTACTAACGGTATTTTATGACTTTTAAAAAATTCTATATTTAAGAAACAAGTTGAGGCTCCTGAATCTATCAAGGCAGAGGCTTTATAATTATTAGGTCCTAAATACACATCTATTGTAAAATAATGAGAGGGTTTTGAGGAGAGGATAGGACCTTTATTAGAAATTGTACAAGATTCTAGCCGCACAGTCCCTATTGTAGCTGGACAAATTTGTTTTCTGACACATTATTTTCTTTGACAGATGTATTTCTTATTTTAAGATTTCATTGCTTCTTTGGATAATATTGAGCAATGTCTTTAAATTCTCCATAATATAAGAACAATCCTTCTTGAGAACAACGAGTCTTTTCTTGCTTGACAAGAGGTTTAAAATGTACCACATCAATTTGCATATCCTCTCCTTCTGAATGTATGTGTTGAGGAGATGTTGATGTTGCCATCGAATTGTAGTAACGTTGAGGGCCATTCACACGACTCTCAGATCGAAATTGAAAAAGTTGATTGTTGCATTTTATAGCAAAGTCAATTCCTTGACTCAATGTTTGAGGATCAAGTAAGTTGAACATCAATTTCTTTACATCATATTGTAATCTATAGATAAATTGGCTAATAAGTGTAGCATCATCTCACTTAATATCAGTTGCAAGTTGTCAAAATTGTGAAGTATATAACGTTACAGATTGATTGTCTTGTCACAAAATATGGATCTTGTTGGTTGCAACATGAGTTGTATCATGTTCTCTATACATGGACCACAATTCCACGAAAAATGCCTCTAGATTATCCAATATTGGATCTTGTCATTCAAAAAAAGATGAAAACCACAATAGTGTTAAATCTGAAAGAAGTGTATCAATGAATCCAACTTGTGATCTTGGAGTTGGATAGCTTTGAGGTTGAAGTTCAATCACAAGTTGTACTTGATTGATAAATCCTCAAAATTTGGATCTTGTACTATCAAACTTTTCGGGCAAGGCAAGTCTTGATTCTCTAATACTTGAAGGATGTTCTATCATGGGTAGAAGGACATGATTTGGTGCAGATGTTGAAGCAGCTATAATCATCTCTATATCCTTACTTCTTGCCATTCTTGTTGATCCTTGTAGTGGTAAGCTAAGTTGATGCATAGCAAGCATCAACTCCCACAATTGCTCTTACATTTATACCATTGTACTCTTCATTTCAAGAAGCTCTGCCATAATAAGACTCAGAAAAATATCTAATACGATTGTAGATAAGTAGAAAAAAAGACTTGAGGATAAAAAAAATACTAAGAATAATATCAGTTTAGAAGAGGGTAATCTGCAACTTCTAATATGCTTATATCTTATCATTAGAAAAGAGTAATCCACTCTTAATTAAGACAAGACAAAGCTCTGATATTGTAAGTGTATTCTTATCAATCTGTCAAGGACATGAACTAAAAGATGATGCATAAACTAATGAAATCTGTGTCAAAGAAAGAGTGACAAAATAAAAATAAGGAAGTACGTATATTAAAAGAAATTAGAAAGGCTTATTATCAAAAGATAAAAAAACTTGAGACTCTTGAAACTAGACTAGAAACAAGAAAAGAATTGATAAGAGTGAAGAGAGCTTCATTCTTGTCTCTATATATACTATCTAACTAGGAGCTACATGGCAATGTTCTATAGGACCTCCAATATGTGTTGACTTTGTAGGACACATGCCTTAATTTACAAGACAAGTTTTTCTACGTGTGGGCCACATAGTTAGCTTGGTCTTCAAGCTAACAACATGTATGGTATATGGTCAACTTGTTGACTACATTTCTAATCCAAAAAATCAATTAAACACACTTATAAAGTCAAAGTAACTTCTAAGAAGCTTCCATAGAAATTATTATAGAATTAACTTATTTTTACCTACTTCTACTTACTTCTACCTATTTATACATGTAATTACTAGCTTACATGCATATGTCTGTGACAACTCCATAGCTTTGAACTCAATGCCACTACCAAATGGCTATCGCATCTGTCAAATAGTTGGCTGAATATATAATTACTTCAACGGTATTTGTCTTAGATAGTTGGAAATATTGTTTCATATTGAAGAGGCATTGACATACATCTTCTTATCTTGAAGTCCCACAGTATGTACTATGCTTACTTAATTTCAACTTAGCAAAAATCGACTCCCTTATCCTTGAGGCTTTTATTTGACCTTGATAAGTAACTATCTGGCCTAAGAAATATTGTATTTGAGCCTCCATCTGGGATTGCTCCACCATATCTTCCATACTATAATTTATTCACTAGATTCCACTATTATAATGCCTTCTCACGTCCCAGTTGGCTTTTTAAGAGTAGCTTGTAGGATCTTCAATACAATATCCAGTGTGACTACAACAATTAATCTTGGACTAGATTATGACTATTGAGACACCACCAAAAATAAATAGTCTAATACTCACTCTGATACCAATGAAATACAATTGATCTATTTCAAGTATTTAAGATTGTTCTAATCCATAGCAATATAAAACCTAATCACAACATAGGACAAATTAGACTAGAACAAAATTGAACAAAACTAAATAGAATGGGACACGAAAGACAAAATTGAATAACCAAAATTAAAACAAAACAAAACAAAATAAAAAGATACAAAATCCAATTATATTAAGAGAATAGGTACGAAGCCATATTTAACTAGATGCCTTAAAAGGCCTTGGCCAATCTTATTTATACTTTGTTCTATCACCTTAGACTTTCTAGAATGTTCTTAGGTAGTAGACTCACTTAGATTATTGCCTTAAATTCCTTCTAGAAGGTTCTATGATAGGCCCTATCTAAATAACCACCCTAAACCTTTTCTAGAAGGTTTTATGATAGGATCCACCTAAATAACCATTCTAAATTCTTTTCAAAATATTCTATGGTGGGTCCTATCTAGTCCACTAACCTAGTTTCAATTCTAGAAACTTCCATGATTCTAATTATCTATTCCTACACAAATATCTTATCTATACCTTGTTACACTATGAATCTTTATAAAGGTAAAGAAATCACTTGACATAGCTTGTATTTCCAAGTTGTAGGCTATAAGATTGTGAGTGGTTTTCATGTTTGGTGTGCAAGTGTTTGGAGTAAGTAAGGCATGTAAAATGTCTTTGAGACCACTCTTCATTTGGCATTTCTCACAAGTATATATTATAAGAAGAATAATAGTAAATGCATAGAGAGTAAGATTCAGTTTTTTTAACCTCACTCTCTTGATTGATGGCCAAATTGGCATTAATGTGAGTCAGTTCTTTTCTAAGGTATTTTATAAATTCATAAGCTCCAAAATTCATTGAATCAAAAGGTTCAAAATATTACTTGCTTAAATTATCAAATTTTGGCATTGTGTAGTACTTCCTCAAGGTTGAAATTTGATATTTTGAAAATGCTTTTTTAGAAATCTAGTTATTTGAGGACATGATTATCCTTTGAGCTTGTGCATATAACATTGCATGTAACATTGCATATAACATGTAATATTCAGTAATATTTTAGGTAGAAGATCAATTTGACTACTAGATATGAAGGGCTTAAAACAGCTAAAAGTCTAAGATTGTTCTTACATAATAAGATGTATAACATGACAAGGCAATACCTACATAACATTTGAATGTGAAAAGACAACCAATCACACATGTATATATAACGTCACTTTAATAAGTTTGTCTTGATGTATATAACTTGTTATTTTCAAGAGGTGGAATTTGATACTAATAAATTGATAAGTTAATGCACAATGAATTAAGCAAAAGTGGTTTGCATAGAAGGTTTTGAAGATACAATCAACCAAATACCTTTGGTCCTATAAAGTATGTTTGATGGACCTAAGCTCAAATTCCAAGTTTTTTTTTTTTGAAAAAAGCTCATCAAAAAAATCTTGACTTTGATGCAAAATTCCTATTTTAAACAAAAGACCTACACCAATACTAGATTTGAAATCACACCAATGTTTTAATATTCTGGATTAAATTAACATTAAATGATCATGTCAACCTTGGAGGTGGACTAATGTTAATTCATGAAACAATGCAATATTAAGTTATGTTCAACTGATAAAGTAATGTAACAGACCATAAAACCAAAATACTGACTGAAATGTAAAGAGCCAAATGAAGTTAGTTACATGGAATTGGTGGAAAAACAACATTCTTTTTGAACAGTAAGGTAATGTTAATGTAACATGTCAGGAATTCAACACTGGTAAGTCCTAAAGGATAAATTAGAAAATGCTCATGTGCTGAGATGAAACGTATTTTTGGCTCACAAACATGTCTGAAAAAATGCTTCGTTGGAGTAAGGCTTTCTGTGACAATGGCACAAGTTCAACTAGTTATTAGAATACTCTTTCATGTTATAATTTAATCAATACAGAGAACTTTTGCAATACATTGAGCTCAGTGCAGGAAGATGTTGGAAGAATTGAAGTGGTCCTCTGAAACAGTTGCTGTTAAACAAGGGGAGTACTAACAATAAAAGATAACAGCTCTATTTTGAAAAAAAATCAATCACTTCAGTAAAGATCTTACTTAGGTAGACTTAAACCTACCACGTCTTTCAAATTTCATGCCCTCAAACCAACATTCCAGCATACCACTCAATTACATTCCAGCCCAAACCTGGTCTTGGTGCCACAAAATCTGCCATGATGAAGTATCATAAAAACATCGAGTACTAATCTGTTACTGTAAGTGAGTTACAAACAAAAATACTAAATAAATTTAATGGCTTACTTCTTGAAGAGTCTCCCAAAATAAGGTCAAATCTCAAACTATTTTTCTGGTGAACCCGTCCTGTCCAGGGTGAGCCAGAGTTCATTCAACTTGGTCCATGAAGGATACTCACATTGTGTACATATTCCTTTTGTAATGCACTACCCGTAAACAAAGTTGTAAAATGTTTCTACCCTAGCTAAACTATCTCCCAAGAACCTGATCATGCATGACAGAATCCGGAGAGATTGAGTAGTTTCCGAGAAGTTGGCAAGCATTTTGTGCAGCACGCACAGCTTCTGCACCACGGTTTTCTGTCTGAGAATCTGAAGCCAACCAGCCTTCCAGGATGTGAGCAATATTCGCAATCTGCAGCAACTGTGTCAAGGCAATATACTAGAACCTTTCATTTATATACTATTTTATCAGTTTATGAAAAGTGCCAATTATAAACTAATAATGTGGAGCATTATTCAAATCAAAGAGGATACAGTGGTGAGCTTGGCTTGGCGACCACAACTGGGAGCAACACCCGATGCTCTTTCTTCATCTTCATGCTCGTCCTCATCCCTATGATCATCCAGATCATCCATGAGCAGGTTGGACCCCTCAGCAAACGCAGCCATCAAGCTGGTTTGTTCATCAGATGGGAGCTCAGACTGACTGGCCTGTAGGTGCTGACACACTCTTTGTAAAATGCTCCACAAAGCATTCCGCGCTCCCGAGTCTTCAGTCACTTGTGGCAGTAGTCCTATTAGGTGTGTGATCATATTTCCACCTGGAGGCCAGAAACTCAAATTCAGAGAACATTCTTCATTGAGAAACAAGTCATTAGCTGGGCAGCGCTAGTAGAAACATGGACATAAATGACCCACCAAGTTGAACAAAATTTGGTAACGACGGTCACTTATTCTTGAATTAATCTTGTTCGGTGTCCAACTTCATCCATCTAGATTACCTCAGCAGGTCACAGACCTTATTTCTACTTGCGCAAGAAGTGCAAAACTAGACTATTCAGATGGTAATATAATCGTAAGACGTTTGATTAAAGTATTAGTAGCAACTCAGTTACCTTGTAAAAATTCGAGTATGAGACTGTTTTTCTCTGTGAGTAAATTAGCAATCAAAACTGTTCCAGTAATACCTGATGGTCCAACCTGCAACAGAAACATATAAGCATCCAAGCAGTTGTCGCCATGGCATACATTGCAACATGAAATGCCCGCCTCGGGATTTATCCAAAAGCAATTGTGCGATGTGTGCTCATATTGTACAACATTCAGCTCCCAAATGTAAACAAGAGAAAAGGGACACAGGACGTAGCTAGTGAAAACCAGCACAAACTTGAACTTCACATTATCTAGTAGCTAGGGGAAAAACAACAATTTAGAGTCGGACTTGGGTTATTAGCGTAGTTGCCCGCCAACCGTAAGACTAAAGATTAATGAGCTTAATTCAAGAGCTAAGACAGGTACGATGATAGCGACTACAGTGAGATCCAAAGTATCAATACATTTGCAAAATTTTGTGAATTGATAATTTCGAACTAAATATAAAGCTTCTCTACAGCCAAGAACATAGCAAAGTAACAAGTGCAGCTTCGATTACTCCCTTACCTCGTCCTTATGAGAGAGGCGAATGACCTGACAAGCTAGAGAGAACAGTTTTTGATTGGAGGCAAGTTGGGTGGCAAATTCATCAGCCAGAGAAAGAGCCTCTGCAATTTGTAACACTATATCCAATACAGCATCTCTGCATAAATAAGAATCCAAACACCAGTCAGCATGCACTCAAACGGAGAACTTAAAGGAAAAGAGGACAGAAAAGGGTAAGTAATAAAAATAAGAATAGAGAAACTTTCTGACCCGCAAGTGGATGTTCCTTCGGTGATAGCTGTAACCTCGCCCTCTATGAGATCTGTCAAGAGCTCAGGCAGCCCCATGCGCAGAAGAGTAGGTAGTAGAGCAGAGAATGCTTCTTGCTTGCTGTCCACAATCGCTAGCAGCAACTCAGTACTCTGCAACAACAATAAGAGAAAAATGAAATCCCACTGGGTATGACATAGGTTGAGAAGAATACTGCAAATTAAATGAATCAGTTTGAGAGGCAGACCTTTTCTCGGAGCTGGGAATTCATAGTGTTGTCTGCAATCCACATAATACGTTTCAGAACTTCTTCTTTTTGAAGCGCGTTAATCCAAGCCCCTGCTGCATCACTATGTAGACCTGCACTCAACAATCTATAACAGGCCCGCGACCGTATCACCAGAAATGTAGAATAAATTACAAAGCCGAGTTGGCAACAATGAATGTAAGTAAGATTCCGTCTGTCAACATATGCAAGTTCCTACTATGGAAAACAAAAGCGTTACCGGGAGGCAGTTAAGCGTTACAATAATGACCTGCAGGTTTCACAGAGGCTGGGTGGATCTTCAAATTGAAGCTGCTGTATAACTGTCGGTACTAAGCCCTCAAAATTCACCATAATCATTTCTGGCTTAGTGTGGCAAGCCAAATTTCCAAGTATTCCTAGACATATTTCCTGTTAACTTTTGTCAGGATATGAAAAGACAACCAGTCTGATGAGTATAGGTGAAATTCTGCACCAACTTCCATGCATGGCTTGAACCCAATTCAGAAGTTAACTAAACAAGTGAAGTGAGCAAACGAAATGAGCAGACGAGGTTTGAAGGGCACACCCGCATCCGATCAGATTGTGGGAGGCACAATATGGCCAGCAAGACATCGAGTATGCGATTGTCCACCTGACGTACATATACATCGACAATTTTAGGATGAGTTAATCCAAGCCAGGCCTAAGAAAGACTGAACCCACAAATTGATGCAGATCACCAAATAGAGAAGTTAGGTATTGGATACACACGAATCCATCCCATTTCTTAGCGCACAGACTTAGACTCTTAGGATTCTTGACTGTGGACACATATTAAAGTTTAGGGTTTAGGTTGTTTGAGGATGCCACCTTCAATACGGCCGAATCTGTGCAATATGAGATGATCTTACCAGAAACTCTGCTTGTGTTTCGTTGGCCGCAAGGTCCCAAAGCACACAACCGGCTTCTTCTCGAATCTCTTCCAGCTCAATGGGTCCACTGACCGCCGATTTCTGGGCGGCTCCATCACGAGTCTCCAGATTCGCCACTCCACCATCCTTCTCTTCAAAATCATCAGAACCACTCAAGTCCTGAGCACCATTATCTGTTTCTGGGAGATTCTTAACATCGCTTTCCTTGTGATGAGATGCCCTCAGGTCATTCACCAATCCTTCGGTTCCAGGGTCCGTTGCCTTTCGTGTCAGAGTTTCTGCTTTCTCCCCCACTGCTGCGTCTTCTTTGACGATCTCCCCTGAAACTGCTCTGCATTTCGACTCCAGCTCACTGGAGTCTTGTCTATTACTCAATGGATCTTCCAAGAGGTCTCCGCCGACTTTGGGCGCCGCAGTCTTAATGGGCAAAAGCTGGCGGATGAGATGGATAATGTGGCTGGGGTCAATGGTGCTCGAATACCCGGCAACCTGCAACCCACCAAAACACATCCACTCTTTCACAGGTCCACAATTCGCAACGCATGAGCGCAATAATTTCTCCTCAAAACCCTATTCGTGACAATAATAATGCACAGGACTCGTTGGGCATTGAAAAGCTGGTTTCGGTCTCTAATTAATTCTGGTTCTGTACTTCCAACCATCACAAGTCAAACGTATACGCCAAAACACATTCGACAGACACTCCTAACATTACTTCCCATTCGATTCTTCATAGCTATGCACCCGAGGATAATGTGCGCCAATTTCCAAGCCCTTGTTATTTAGAACAACTCTCTGATTGCAATACTCCGTCAGAGGTATCTATTGAAACCGACGCAAAAGTCGATCCCAAGTCACAGCTCTCGCTGCCAGGATTCTAGAGAAGATGCAAACCTGCACACAGCGAATGAACCGCAAACCTGATCATATTCGGGCTCGGGTAGCGTCGGTGGAAGCTCCGACAAATCGCAAGGAGTGCAAGCAATCTTTTCGCCATCGTTCGTCCGATCCATGGCGAACAAAAATCCCCGCCGCTGCAACTTGGAGAATGTATGCTCCTCGTTTGGTCATTGCCCACTCAACATTTCCAGCTCCATAGCTGTGCACAACTTCAACATCCCTGCAACGATTTGTAGGCGGCACGTACACTGAAAGGTGTACTTACCCCTTTCGCCACCTCACCCTCGCCAGATCATCAATCCGCTTGCGTGGAAACTCCACATCATCATCTCCATCGATGCTTTTCAACCTGTTGCCCACTTTTGGAGTAGCAAACTGAATGAACCAGAGTACCCAAAACGAACAAGAAGGAAGGGAAAACATGCTCCTAAGAATCACACTCTTCCTGGTCTTCTTGCATCAGTTCTCCCTTTCGAAGCATCTTAACCCTATAGCTCAATACATGTAGAAGCTTCGACAAATGTGTGTGCTCCAGCTTCAATGCATTTGCAGATCATCGTGTCGCTGGGCAATGCGAAGAAATGGGGATAACGATTCGAAGACGCATTGAGTCAGTGTAGATGTTAAATTCATTGCTACCTGAAAGATGATGATCTCGCTGGATCAGTAGTGTATACAGCTTCCATGAAAGTGAAGTATGAGTTAAAGAATGATGAAGGAATGGCAGAGAAGAGTGGACGAAATGGCCCAAGGATTGTGTTGGGTCGGATACTGCTGGCATGGTATTGGAAATCGGAGTTTATGGCTGGATTCTGCAACTAGCACAGCAACGCAGCGGGTAGCGAGATGGCGAGGCCTTTGGAAAAACCATGTCGGTGCCTTCTTATCCTGTTTGCCCCAGGTTTATTGTCAGAGTCCTTTGCTATCCCTGGTTCTCACGCGTGACTCTCGGAGACTTCATACTGACAATCTCACAGTCGGACTTGAAGTAATTAATCAGTAGCAAGAACTGGTGTGATGGGTGTTATTGTTTTCATGCCCTAGCTGTTGGTGTGGATTACAGAGACGTGGCGACGATGTTAGAAATTATGTCTCGCGGCATAGACGGCGTGGTGAGCATGATTCTTCCACTTCTGCAGGAGTTGTAGCAGTCGCTCTTCTGACTTGTACTGTTAACATCGCTACAAATAGTGTAGCTATTATCATGGCAGATTCCTCACAGTAGCCAAATTGCATAGGTAATCAATTCTCATGTTCAGAAACAAGCCGCAAGAGACAATTTGTCGCACTAGATGCTGTGAAATCCTTCTGTGCCGTTACAGCAAGGATTGATTACAACTCTGCCAGTATGTGTGTTTCTGCCTCTTGAAAATTTCATGTGCGCTTCTTGGATGCAGACTATTATGGCGGGGGCTATTCGCTGCGCAAATAGCAAATTGGTGTGTGAGCTCTATTTGAGCTGCAGTTCAATATCATGGAGGCTTCGAGTGGGTTCGTTTCTGTCTCACAATCGTTGTCGTGGTGGTGTAGGATCCTTGGTATGGAAGTTGAAGGCTCATGAAGGACCTACTATTCTTGTTTGGTTTGCGTCGATGTTAGGCTGGCATTGAGTATTCTGGTTGTACGGGCCATTGGTTTTCCAGATTGCAAACCCTACATATATAGTACCTTGATTGGATTCAATTTCGGTCATTCTTATAAAGACCACTACTTGGACAGATGAAGTCCAGTTCTCTGTTGAGCTTCCTGTATCCCCTTGTAGCAGCATGGACTACTGAAGGCGAAATATGGTATGACGGATGGACGGATGACAGAGCAACATTTGCTCAAATATAGTGCTGGAATCGAGTTACCTGTCGGCGACTTAAATCTGTCACCCGTGCTTGAATCCTACAGACGCTGTACTTCGTCGCAATTGGGATGGAAGAGGTGCGATTCTAACCACAGGTGTTCAAACGCTTCTGGACCTTCATTGTACGATGTTTGTATGAAGGCAGTTTTGAGCAGGACCGGCCCGCCGATTCTTCTTTACACAAACGTTAAGTTCGTACTTACAATGAAACAAATGTGTGGTTCATCATCGTTCTTACACTTGTTACTTTCTGCTTCTTTTGTTTTGGGGGGATTCATCTCATTTGGAGTGGCGAGAATTTGAGAAGGATTATGAGATTGTGCTGTTCAGAAGTGATCAAGAACGGGTGTAAGGATGCGAGCTATTCAGATCAGTGGCATGCTGAAAAACCTAGACTCGTCGATCGCCGCGCCTGCACCCTCACCCTTGCGAGGCTGGTGGCAGTTCTCGGCAACTGTGTGTCAGGAATTCAGTGTACGTCGTCTCTTTGCCTGAGATTTTTCCTCGGGATATTCTGTTGGAGCGTGTGTTCGGGAACCGGGGCTCACAAAGAAGCTGCGGCGGGTACTGGAGGTCACGAAGGTGGGGCAAGTCATCCTGCTCGGTTTCTGATTGTTTTTGTCTCTTGAATGAACCGGTGTTGGAGGATTGTGAGGAATGATTTGTTGGTTAAGAATGTTGGCATGCATCACTCTTGGACTAAGTAATGAATGAGCCGAAAAATTGACGAAAATAGCAGATTTGGAAACGTATCGTAGGCACCCATGATCTGCTCAACTCTCGCCACACACATGCCAAAACCCTTCAGCTCTTGAATGCATCTCACTATGGCTTCTGAATATTCATTTGGCTTCTCTTCGGTTGTAAGAGACTTGTGCGATGCCTTGGCAAAATTTTGGTTGTGTGATTTGAAAACCCTATGAGGACGTGTTTGCAATCAGCCCATCGACCTACTTCGCAAGCTCAATACCAACTAAGACTTTGTTTCACTTAATGCATTTTTTCCCATGGTTATTGCCTCTGTTCTTGCTCGTGAACCCGCGGCTTGAATGAACTAGCGCAAGAGCAGAAGCAAGCAGTAAATGCGCAAATTATAAAGACATTGTACTTAAAGAAGAGGTCATAGATAAGATAATCTAGGTTCCCCAGTCAGAGTGAGCCCCCTTCCACACAAAGATGCCGTTCTTGTCGAGGTATTTGAGACCAAATTACATCCAAAGAATTCTGCGACGGCGGTGAAGCAAAGAGCGATTCTTATAGACGATATTTGGCATGAAGCGGGCAGTTGATCTATTGATACAGATAGGTATACGAAACGCCTTCTATTAGGATATGTTTATTCAGCCACTGAGGTACACATACTCACTGACTACTCTCCAGTTCAAGTTTACATTCTGAGTGCCGATGCTTCAACTATTTTGCATGTGATTGTTGTTAACAATAAGTATGTGCGTAAAAATTGAATTAGTTTGATTGTGAACACACGGAGTGGGAGTTTTTGTTATGAATGCTATGGTGCAGGGTCTTCCTATAATTAAATAATTCGGTGTGAATTTCAAGTCAGCTATTCACAGAAATATAAACATAATAAGATCACAGAAAGATTCACTCACCCTTGTGAAAATATTTTCAGCAGTATGAACATCTGCTGGCAAGGAAGAACGTTTCCCAAGTACATACCAAGTCCTTCAAGTTGCTTTTGTGACAATGGTTTTGAGATGCTTTACATGACGGTTTGAGATCCTTCACGATTGCAGGTCTTCGTGGTTCAGGGACGTTTCTGAAGCGCCGGATAAAGCATGGTATCGATTGCGGAAAGACTAAACAAGAGGTTATTTCATTTCATATCCTCGTCATGTTAATGACGCAGCACTTAAAATCCCCAATGAAATTTTGTGAGAACTCTGACGTTGGATGTATCGAATTAGGTGTCCACAAATCTAACCCCTGCTTAGTTTCGAAGGTTCTTTTACGGAGCTCTATCCACCAAACAGATTTCAGAGCCACGGTTGTATAGTCGTGTTCAAAGTGCGAGCCACTGCAACGTGTATAAAACCGTTCAGCTACCATGTTTGTGGAAAGTCCTCTTAGTCATGGTTAAGTTGCCTCCATGCTTCGCAATTGGCACAAGCTGTTAGCGTGTCTTTGAGCAATTCTATCTTTGACTCTTCAACAGGAGTTCTCAGTTACACCGAACTTCTGGTGCGTTCCTCAAACTGTAAAACGTTTTTGACGATTCAATGGATTGTACGTCAAGATTCACAGGTTCTACAGTGTACTTAGTATGTTTTCTCTCACATAATGCTGAACTTGCATAATCTCTAGACTCTGGCAGGTTACCGAAAGACCTCAGTGCAACGACCTCTGCTCAGACGAAACCTGTGGAATGATACCAGGAACAGTGAGCTATGTATGCCACAGGAGATCTCCGCTTCACTCTGCTTGTCTTCAATCAACAGTCTGATGTACCTTGGTACCCCACCTTGCTAAACAACTTGTTGACCCGCCTAGCATATCTTCAATCTGAACTAACAATCTGATCTTACATTTGTTTAGCAAGGTGTGTTAGCCAGTGGTTAACCCATCTAGTTAAATTAAACAACTTGGAAGCTAATCTAATACTAAGCGCGTCACTAAAAGAAGCAGGAGGCAGGTGTACTGTGAGCTTCAAAGCTGTTTCCTATCAACATTTAGAGAACACCCACTTCAGGTTAATATTAGTTTTAATTGTTTAAGTCATATGTATGTGTTTATGAATGTATGTCTTATGTATTAAAATCGTATATCCTGTTTGTGCTTGCTGAAAGAAAAAATCATCCATAGTAACAGATACCATTTGTAGAATTTTTTAACCCTCCAACACAGTTTCCCTCCATTCATTTTTGAAAGATGGTCTTTTGCTATTTTGTCAATGCACAACTCCTTTTATACCTATTTGATCGTTTATTCAAGTAGATTGGCTACTTTTTATTATTAATGAATATTTTCTATTTATAGGTTCTAAAATTACCAACTTGTGACACTTTCTCAATGTTATGTTCTCTAAATTGTTTTTAAAGAGTGATTTTAAAGGTATATGTTGAAATTTAGGTTTTTCTTTTTTCTTTTTTATATAATCATTTTGTGATGCTGTATTTTTATTATTATTTTAATGAATTACAGACTCTAAATTTGAAGCATATTTATTTGTTTTACAAAAAAAAAAAAATTAAAAGAAAGAACATGGATAAATCAAATAAGCAGAATAATTGAAAGTGACTTTATGAGTAAGGTAATGGATTTTTTGAGTTTCATTATTCCAACATATCATTAAAGGTATCATGTATTATAATTACTACAAGAATAATCATTTCAATATTATTTCATGAATTAAATATATAATTTATTTACATAGGAGATGTTTTCAAAGTGTAGGTTTAAAAAACTATTATTTTATTAAAAGTATGTGTATACATACAATGTATGTTTAGAATTTTGTTTTTTAATATATATTATAATTTAAAATACATCACAAACCAAAACTAAAAACTTACATAGTTGCATTTCATATTTTTTTTCTTGTACTTTATAATTATATTTTAAAGATTTTATTATTAATATTATTCATAGATATACTTTTTTTTAAAGTATTTTCAAATAGATTGTTTAGTTTAGTGGATTTTCATCCACTTAATATTTTTTAATAATTAACTTTGTTAGTATCAACTAAAGTTTAAAGATTTAGGTGGAGAAACTCCCTTGACTTGATTTTCTTCTCAAGTCAAGTCTTATGAGTGGTTTTGAGAGAGAATAAGTTATTGTTATAAGATTTTGCTTGGCTATGGTGATTAGCCTTTAAGTAAAGTTTTAGGATTTTGTTTTATACACACTTGCACTATTGGATTCCTTCTTAGTGCTATAAAAGATAGCTTCATTTAGTAGTATTTAGATTTTCCATCTTTCCTTGAGAGTGTGTTTCTTGAATATTTGTATTTGGTATAGATAGCATACTTCATGTTAATTATTGATACTCAATTTGTTGTGTATGACAATCTTTATTTATGTAAAAAAATATTTTTATTCATTTGATATTTTATTTTATTTTTTATAAATTTTTTTAGAGTTATTTTATTTTATATTTAATATTTATAGCATTATAAGTTTGATAAGAAAAAAATAATGTGCCATGATACTTGACTTTCACACAAAACTCTACTATCTCAAGTATGTCTAAATAAAATAAAAAATAGAAAACTATGCATGAAAAAAATGAAAATTGTTGTATGGGACAAATTAAGAAGAAAGTAAAATATATGAAAAGATAGAGAAAAAGAAATAATTCTCTTCCAAAGTAAAGTTGAAGAACCACCACCATTGCATCAAACTTAGAATTATTTTTAAGTTTAACAAAAAGAAATAAAAGAATCCTTGGTTTACTTGAATAGCCTCTATCTATATATCTATATATATATATATATATATATTCTTATATGTATAGATTATTTTTTATTCTATTTTCATTCATATTATTTGTTGGTAGTAGTATTAGAAGAAAATAAGAGAACAAAGTATTAGAGACCATGAACATAATTGCATATATAACACACACTAACTAACTAACTAACTAACTATATATATATATATATATATATATTTGTTCAAATTACAAACATTCATTAAATATAAAATAGAGATAACTTGTATGAATATATATATATATATATATAGAAAGGAAGGCTGTAATATGAGTATGGCAGCTCCGTCTTAAACTTATAAATTTATCTTCTTCCTTTATAATATACAAACATTAATTATTATTATTACTTTTTGTGTTTTCAAGTATGTGGCACAATATTTATTATTTTAGCAAAGACCACATGTACTTTAAATCAAACTATATTACATGAAATATAAAAATATATATAAATATATATATAAAAATATTAAAATGACCCACCCATTTACTAAATCAACCCATCCTATGGTGGAGAGTAATGGAGAATGAGGGGGGGGTGGGAATAAAGAAGGCTAAAAATAGAAGGTGTAGGGGCTGGGAACAAAGGGGACAAAGATGAATTCCATGATTGTATGATGGTTTTGGGAGATAATCCATTTTCCTTATGATGGTTACAATAGAGTGGGTTGATTTAGTAAATGGGTGGGTCATTTTAACATTTCTCTATATATATTTTGAACTTGTGATATATTCTATGTAGAATCCATGATCAAGGCAATTGGTCAACACAGCGAGGGCCCAAGAAGAATCCCGAAAGCGACGACACTTCGATTGACACCTATATGGCCACCTCGATGCCCCTCCGCCCCGCGAGGCTGTGCTCACGGCTTGTGAGCAGCAGCTCAGTCAGGGAGGGGCCGTGCATCTTCTGCCCCCTTGCTTCGTGGTCTTGTGGTACCACCCTTGTATGTGTGCGTGCCTCCTCCCTCCCCGCATTGCCTCTCTCTCCCTCTGTTCTTGGGCTTTTTGCTGTTGTTATTGTTGTTGGGTTGTGGAACTGGCTCGTATCATGGTGCGAGGCGGTGGAGAATCGGCTATGGTGTCGTCTAGCCCTAACCGGGATGGCTTTGTGAAGCAGATCAGGGGAGGAGGAGGAGCCATGGATCTGAAGGTGCGCGTTGGGGTTTTGTTAGTTTCATTTCTTGTAATGTTATTCCCTCCCGTGCAGGCGTTCTACTTGCCTGGGACTTACTTGCATCCGTACAAGAAAGGGGATAAGCTGGAGGTGAAGGTTAATTCTCTCACTTCCATCGAGACGGAGCTGCCGTACTCGTATTACAGCCTTCCTTTCTGCAAGCCTCCGGAGGGTATTCAGAAAATGGCGGAGAATATTGGGGAGATGCTGATGGGTGACCAGATTGAGAATTCCCCGTATAAGTTCCAGATGAAGGTGGACCAGAAGGATTTGCTGGCGTGCGTGGCGCCTCCCCTAACCGAGAATGACGTGAAGCATTTTAATCAGAGGATCGATGACCTCTACCAGGTGCACTTGATCTTGGATAACTTGCCTGTGACGAGGCTCACAACAGCAGCCAAGGAGCCGAACAGTCAGTTGCGGTGGACTTGGTCACCAATTGGGTTCAAGTTTGATGACAAGCCGGAGCATTTCATTTACAACCACTTGGAGTTTAAGGTCTTGGTGCACCCTTACGACAAGGACTCTGCATCGGGGGCAGTCTTAGGGACGGGGGAGGGTTTGGACACCATGCCTGCTGCGACGATGCAGAACTTGACTGGAACATACATGGTGGTCGGATTTGAGGTCGCTCCTTGCAGCGTCGTCCGCGATGCAAAGGCCGCGAAAGAGCTGAAATACCAAGGGCTGCTCCCTGCCTCGGATTGCGATCCCAATAAACCTCACCAGGTCATCAAGGTGGGGGAAGAGATCGTGTACTCATATGACGTCGTGTTTGAGGAAAGCAACATTCGCTGGCCGAGCAGGTGGGATGCATACCTGAAGATGGAGGGGGCGCGTGTGCACTGGTTCTCCATTTTGAACTCGCTGATGGTCATTTCGTTCCTTGCTGGAATCGTATTTGTGATTTTCCTGAGAACTGTGAGGAGGGATCTGACGAAATACGAGGATCTGGATAAGGAGGCTCAAGCGCAGATGAACGAGGAGCTATCAGGATGGAAGCTTGTCGTGGGTGACGTGTTCCGTGCACCCGAAAACCCACAATTGCTGTGCGTGGTAGTTGGGGATGGTGTCCAGATCCTGGGAATGGCCGTGGTGACAATTCTGTTCGCTGCGATGGGATTCATGTCCCCTGCCTCGCGAGGAATGCTGCTGACAGGCATGGTGCTGTTGTACATGTTTTTGGGCATCATTGCCGGGTACGTAGCTTCGCGAATGTGGTGCACCCTGAAGGGCGTGAGGGACGGGTGGAGACCGATAGCGTGGAAGACGGCGTGTTTCTTCCCCGGAATCGCATTCACAATTATGACAGTGCTGAACTTCCTCTTGTGGTCACGTGACAGCACGGGTGCCATCCCCATCTCTCTATATTTTGTGCTGCTGTTGTTGTGGTTCACCATTTCGGTGCCGTTGACTCTGCTTGGAGGCTACCTGGGTGCGAAAGCGGAGCCGATCTCGTTCCCAGTGCGAACGAACCAGATCCCGCGAGAGATCCCACCGCAGCGGTATCCTTCATGGCTGCTGGTGCTTGGCGCGGGCACGTTGCCATTCGGGACCCTGTTCATCGAGCTGTTCTTCATCATGTCGAGCATCTGGATGGGACGCGTGTATTACGTGTTCGGATTTCTATTTGTGGTATTGATCCTTCTGGTGATTGTGTGCGCGGAAGTGTCGGTGGTGCTGACGTACATGCACCTGTGCGTGGAGGACCACAAGTGGTGGTGGAAGTCGTTCTTCGCATCGGGGTCGGTTTCGTTGTACGTGTTCCTGTACTCCATCAACTACCTGGTGTTCGACTTGCACAGCCTGGCTGGACCAGTGTCTGCGGCTCTGTACTTGGGGTACTCGCTGCTGATGGTGATCACGATCATGTTTGCGACGGGTACAGTGGGATTCCTGACGTCTTTCTACTTCGTGCACTTCCTGTTCTCTTCGGTGAAGATCGATTAGAGGATGTAGATGTCTCTTGCAGTCTAGGCTGTGATTGCGATTTGGGAGACTTCGCATGTAGGTTAGGATTAGTTCTTTTTTTAATATATTTTTGTGGAGCTTATCTTCATCCTAGTGTAGGATCAGGCAGGACTCCTTGTCAGAATTAGGAGTTGTTAGAACAAGCAGAGAAAAGTGGGTGAACATTGTTCGTTGGCGTGATGTTTGAAGAGGTTAGCCGATGTATCAGTTAACATAAAGATAACTTCTCAATTTCATGCGAATGACTTGTCGCGCTGGCGTGATTTTGAAACGGTGGTTTAGGTCGTCGTCATACACATGCAAAGGAAAAGAGGGGGATGGTTCACTTCCACCTTGAGTATTTAAGTTACCGAAATTCCTTCCCGTTGTGAGCTTAGCAGTCGTAACGTACAGATTTTCATGATTGCTACCTGTGAAAAAAATGACTGGTCGGGTCATCTCAAGAATCTGGTCCCGCAAGCCAAACACATCATCCGTCGCCACCTAAGTGTCGACAATACAGTGACTGCCAAAACTGAGTATGAAACCAGGTTGGTCAAATTCAACAGACAATGTAGATAAATTGGGTGTAATAAAAATGAAACCAAAAATTGCACAAGATTACCATTGCAGTAAATCATACTTCAATGATGATTGAAGTCTATTACACACATTTCAATGGTGATTGAAGTCTATCACATATGCATATGCAAGAGAAATTAAAATGAAAGTTCCAAAATTCAGTTTTGCCCATATTAGCTGAAACAAATTTAAAAATTTGTCCACCTGCCGTTAGCAGCTATCACAGCTCTAATGCACTTATGAATGCTTCTATACAAGTTCTTACACTTATCCGGAGCAATTGAAGCCCAACAATCTTCGATACACTCCCATAATTCTAGCATTCATTTGGAAGTGTTTCATATCGGTTCAATTGATAGTTTAAAGTTGCCCACAAGTGTTTAAATGCATTCAAGTCTGGAAATTGTATCAGCCACTTCAAAAGAATAAATTGAGCCAACCATGCACACCCTTGGACATATGCTCAAAGTCATTATCATGTTAAAAAATCAAACTTGTAGGATTTGAATCGTATGCATACATTGAATAAATCAATTCTCACTCTAAAATCTCTTTGTACATGTATTGATCTATTCTTCCTTCAATCCTCCTAATCATACTAGGGCCATTTGGAGTCAACCCCACATTATCACTTCCTCACCTTCAAACTTGATTGTTTGTTGCACCATTCCAACACTTGTACTTTGCCTATCACAAAACCAACACCAATTGCAAACATCAAAGCAAAAGCAATTGACTTTTGTTTCATTGAAGAATATTACATGATCATAATAAATGTCATTGTTATTGGATTGATCATGATTGTTTCATTGAAGAATAATACATGTATAGTCATAATTTACACAAAATATTCTTTATGTCTAGAGAGGTATAAATTATCAATAAATGGAGATACTTGTTTATTTCCCAACATTCATTGCTATGTCTTTTTTTCCATAAAAGCCACATCAATGTAAATTCTTTATAAAATCAGGTTTTACTTTGCAAGTTTTTTTTTTTTTTTTTTTTTTTTTTTTTTTGTTAATTATAATATTAAAAATAAAAAATAATATGACATTTTTTTTTTATATAAATTAGAGCAATGTGTTTTTACTTATAATTGGAGCATAATACTTTATAAATAGATATTTTTGCTTATAATATTCTAAAAACTTTCAAAGTTTCAAATGTTATTTGGAAGGTATATAATCTTTTTTTTGTTTATTTTTTTTTATTATTTTTATGATTATTGATTGCTTACATATATAATTAATTATATAATAATTCAACTTTTTTCTAAAGACCTGTTTTTATCTATATTATTGGACTATTTGTTGATGACAAAAATATATAAGATACTATTACTTTTTAAGATTAAAAAAATAGGCATATGAAAAAATAATTTTATTTCTAATGTTTTCATGCAACTATTAAAAGATTATTTAAATAGAATACAAGCATTTTGTAATATACATATTATTAATGCCATATATATTATATAACAAAGGATTTTTTACTTCATTATAATATCATAGTTTATTCTTTTCAAATTATCTATTTTTAGTAATTATAAGAATTTTAATTAATTAAGCTTATAGAATGTTTTATTTAATAATTTAAAATATAGGTAATTTAAACCATAAGATGTTTATTTATAAAATAGCTTAAATTTACTTAAAACATGTTTGAAGTTTTTTTAGTTCTAATTATTTCTAATATAATGTTGATATTATAGAAACTTGTAATTATTTTAGTAAAAAGATAAGATTTTATGTGGATTATTGTGGATTTTTATAGCAAGAATTTATAACTAGATTGCAATAAGAATTTAAGTGTTAGAGAGAGTGATTGTGGATTTTGAATGGATTGCCAAAAAATTCTCTTCTTATGAGTTCTAAAACCAATGATATATATATATATATATATATATATATATAATATACTTTAGGAAGCTAAATAAAAAAAAATACAAGAATATTAGCTATGATAGAAATGAAGGTATGAGTGGTACCATCATACACATACATTTCAAATTACATATGTATGAGTTGCTAAAATGATTTGTCAATTTTATATAAAAAAAAGTTCTAAAAACTATGCTAGTCTATCCCTTGTGTTGTAAAACATAACTCAACCCAAACATGTTTACTTAAAGGAAAAGATTTGCATCAATACAAGATAATATAAGGTAAGTTTTTGGAAATCTTATAAAAAACTCTTTTGTCTCATACACAACTTAGTGAATCTTAAAAGGTACTTTAAAACTTGTCAATGAAATAAGATCATTCCATGACCCTTGTTGCTATGCAGCAGCTTTGCAGTGATTTCTTACCCATCTTCCAATTCTTTGTTTCATGGCTTAATGAACGTAGTGTAAAACGACTGGACAGCACTTATCAGCATCAACAAATTTCTGTTTATTTAAATATGTGTACGTGCTCACGTCTCTCGCTCTCTCTATATATGTACACTAAACATGGCTGCAGTTTCTTCTTCTATGTCGAAGACGCCCCAGGGGTCGGTCACTGAGTGAGAAAGTATCACTTTTCGACTACTGGAAGAATAGAATAGATCAGATCAGATCAGTGGCTTAAGTTGTCTTTCACGGGATCCAGTGGACCCATGAAATTAAAGCCAGTCTGCTTACCAGCTGCGCAAATCCAATGTCTATATATGCAACATCATCGGCGACAGTTTCCACAGCCCATTCTACAGGCTCATGAGGGAACAAGTTGAAGTGGATATCAGACAACGTTGCTGCAACTTGCTCAGAGACCGAATAAAACATGGCCGAATTCAGAAGCTACAGATGACTGCGAAGGATCACGAGTCCAGTTCTCCGGAAATTTGTTGGTGAAGAACGAGTATTGATGTTCAAAAAAAATGAAACTACGTCGTTTCGAGACATGATGCCACGAGAACGCAGCAGCAACCATGCATGTGCAGGTTTGGGGTCCGGAGTACAACCAAAATGCAGACCAATTGCCTCAGCATCGTTGATACTTCATTTAAGATGTCAGAGAAACAGGTTAGTCCGCTCTAGACTCGGTGTCAGCTATATAGTTTGCACATGATCTGCCGAAATGGTGCACGCACCGAGTCCTGTAATCGTAAAAACTACGTAGGTGTACAAACATCACGACAGGCCAGCTCGTTTCGACAGGAGTACTCTTGTGAGGACTCTTAACGGATCCCATCGTGCTCGAATGAGCTAAATTGACATATTGAAGTCTGAGATGATATAGCTGCTTGGGCACTGTCCCCAGAACAGCCCATCTTCCAATGATAGGTAGAAGTCTAGAGGTGGCATGGCAAGAGCTGCATCCAGCTCCACCAGGGATTCGACGCTGGATGACGAGGTGCTGCTGCTTGATGCAACGGCTGGGGCAGCGACTGCAGCAGTCGGCTCCTGGTTGCTCTTGGATAAAAGGGACATGACCTTGCGAGCCGCCGCTTTAGCTTCTCGCTGAACGAACATCTTGATCTCCTCAGAATGCCCGGGGACATCGAGCCTCAACTTTGAAGGCAACGAAGGGAATGTTCCGTTAAGTTCTGGAAAGTTGAACTTGGTCTTCTTGTTGGTGTAGAAGACCCCTGCATCATATGCTGCGGCTGCTTCAGTGTCAGTGTTATAAGTCCCCAGCCAAATGGTTTTCTTCCACTTGGAGGGCCTAATCTCCACGAGGTATCCGCTCACGCCTTTGCGCTGTCGAACGCCCTTGTATCTTTGTGATCCAGTTTTGGAGCCGTTAGGAGGTCTGCCCCTTTGAGGCAAAGGCTTGATGTATGGCGAGGAAGTAACTCCTAGCGGTGAATCGGAGTTGGGTACGGTCTCTACCTTAAATGGCTGCTCGTAAAGACTAGTGACCGAATCAACCTCAGCCATGGCAATTGTCCGTGAGAGTACAGGTGGTTGGCAAAAATCCACCAAATTCCAAAGATCACCGGAAAATGATGCTGGGATTTCCACAGGTTTCACGTCGTGGGTTATAGGGAAGTAGCAATTATAGCACCTACCGGTGTGCTCCGACTGGATGCCAGATCCGCATACGCATTGAGCCCATCCTTGAGGTCCACTGCGCTGCAGAAGCTGGGTGTCGACGTCTCGGAAGTGGGCATACTCCCCCAAGTCAGGCATATTTACCGCGCAATGATATTGCAGACACAGAAAGCGTGTCCAATTTCACTCTGGTCAAGATATTGCCTTTGAGTATGAGAACAGGCTCTACGGATCTGAAGACTGAAGGTTTGGGATGTTTAGAACAATCAGCTTGTCCGTAGAACTTCTGCATTCAACGCCACCACTCCATTCAGGGTCTGATGGTACTTGGAACCATCTCTCTCAGACATACTGTCAATCTCACTGCACAAAACGAAGATGCTAACAGGGTCAGAAAGATATCCCACAAGAATCCAAGACTTATTTCTGAATCTAATGAATTTTGCAGATGAGGTAAGATTCCCAAAATGGGCTACAGACTGAGGTGCTACGATAACTTCTTCTTCGTGGGAGGGACACATTTGCCTTCTAATGGGACTGGCTACGTTTTACAGCTAGCAACACTAGGTTCAATTAGTGGAGAGGGAGGTGGAGCCAAACCGTCAAAGGTCTAAAACCTTCACATTCCATAAACACACTCTAGGAATACCAGACTCTTCCCACACTTGAGACTTCGCTCTAGTCCTATGGGAGTTATGTATCACGCCAATCTCAAACCACATCTTCGTTATTCTACACCATTAAAAACAACAAACAGCGCAGTAAGGTTCCAAATCCTCGCCTTCAAATTGGTGCAGGCATTTAAATTCCGACATGCAGGCTTGGTGCATTTGCACATGAGGCGCTTGAAAAACCCGCTTGATAAGACGCCAAAGCTGCTGTTCGAGATTGTCCCGTTGACCTCCACAAGCGTAGCTTCACTGAGACCTCAGATGTCAAAATTCGAGAACGCAATCCTCCACACTACATTCGCTCCTATCAACCTCCGCAAACAAGTTACACTCCCTACGCCCACACACCCTTTCAAAGCAATACCTACCGCTCACCCCCTACTCTCAGATGCGCATGGGAATCTGTGAACAAAACGCACTCGTTCAGTTCGGCGTTGCGCAATGACGACTTTTCAACACGGCAACTGCTTGCGGTAAGCAGACCATCCGAGGGACCCGGAGGAGGAGGATGCCAAGCTCGAGAACCCCCGCAAAGATACAGCTAAATGGCAATGCACGACGACGACTACGACTGTGCAGTAAGGCTGATGGAGCTTCTTCAGCTGGACGGATCAGGCAAGACTAGGCTCACGGAGAGACAGAAAGCGCAATTGCACTTGCAGCGAAGGAACTGTCTGTATTTTGATGCTTTGGGAGCTGCGGCTGAGCTTGGCTTGCTTTGGGTTTATATCCGCGTCAGCCATCGGCTTCAGTCAACCAGAGGGTCCCGGAGCTCCTCCGTGCCTGACGTGAGGGATCTCGGCCCCTGAAGCCCTGGCTCGTTCTCTTTGGGGAAGACCCGCTCTTGCTTTGCTCCACCGCCTCCGTGGGGCCCATGTGCTGATTGCCCAATTGGCTACACCCGATCTCACGGTGAAGTGAAGAAAAATTACCATTCGAACCAACGGAAAGAGTACTCTGAGTCCCCGTCTGCACCCTCGGCCTGGAGAGCTTTGTTCTTTTGGAAATCTTTCTGGGTCGAGTATCTTTCTTTTTAATTTGTAAAAAAAATTCAGTTTGAGTCGCACATTTGCTGCTGAACAGTGTGACTGTTTCTCTCAACGGGTTCAAATTTAATCCCTCACGCGTAGGAAAGCCTTTCCCAATCACATGCTCACCTACATGTTTCTTCCAGGAATCTTGCACTTTTCAATTGAGTTTTACCGTGTGGCCTGATATGGAAGCCGAGAGGAGGACAACCACCGTGTACGAACCTTACAATCCTGAGAGTTTGGAGTAATTGCAATCGCTCTCTTTCTTTCTTTTGTTTTGTTTTTTTTGTTTTTTGTCTTTTCAGCACTTGAAAACCTCTTTGCTGCTTAATGAATTACTTCATATATAATTTCAGTGAAGCTCCATGCTTCAACTTGAGGCTCTAACACTGGGCGAGTGACCTTTACCTTAGGAGAGAGAATTTAGTTCCACGAGATGGAGTCTCTGTTAGCAGCTGCTCTTATCCTTAGGGCTAGCACTCCTTCGATATTGTTCCAAACATGAGAATATTGTTCCCTAGTGATCCCAAGAGTTCCCATCACAGTACTTAGTTTATATGTTTCCTCTTTGATCAATGAACTTACAGTTCCCTCTAGTCAATGCACACAATGTTCTCATATGCACAATGCTTTGAACAACACCTTTGTATACTATGAAGAAAGCATCAATTGTGAATAGTAGTAAGATCCTTTCTTCTATGTGATAGAATATGTCCAATTTAGGATCTGACTTTGAAGTTACAATTAACAACATATGCTAGGATAGAGAGAGTAATTGCACTTCTTCTCCTCTATTGCACTACATTTTTAGTATGATGGCCTCTATTGCATTTATAATATGATGGCGTCTAGCTCACCACAAGGCATGTACACACTTTGAGAGTTGTATCACCTCATCAACATGGAGAACTACAAAATGTGGGCCTTTTGTTTCAAAAATGTGGTTGAATGCAATGGTTTGTACAAGTAGTGTACCACCCTAGCCTCTCCACCACTCTCAATAGTTGAAAAAAAAAGGATAGGAGTAGGTCTTGAGTAACTTTAACAATAATATTAAGCACATCACTCTTGAATAATGAAATGATTATCTAATCCGTATGAATGCTAGAGCACTAAAAAAACAAGCATGATGTCTATGGATGAATATTTGCTAGAAATAAAAGAAACAATTGACATCCTTAAGGATATTGGAGTTTTTTTTCTCAAACCAATTATGGTATGGTATATGATCTCCAATCTTCTTTTAGACTATGACATCACTAAGCAGATGATTTTAGGTAATAATAAACTACCAACCTACTCTACACTCCTTATGTACCTTCTTAATGAGGAACTATCAAAACATATTCAAAAGCTTATCTACAAAGAAACAAAAGCTCTTCTCTTCTATTGAAATAATCTCAAATACCTTTATAATCGATCTATACTTCTTTGATCTACTAGCCATTACCATAATCTCAATCATAATTAAAGCTATTCTCATCAATGTACAATCTTCTTTTTGGAGGATAGTTTCCTCACCATACTCAATACAACAAAAGATATGCCTTCTTAGTCATCAATCTCATGGCTCTTACTTTTGATACTATGAGTGCCCTCTAAATCGACCTTGTGATTTACAATGTAATCATCTTAAAAATAACATTTGCAATATAGAATAGCTATGCTTCTTGAAATCCAATCTATGCTTTGTTTAATATGATAAGCATCCCTCAAGTTAAACTAATACCATCAAAGCTTACTTCCATGACACCTACAATGCCCTTCCTACTATCAACAATAACTATTGCAATGAAAATGCTACTATTATAGAAGATGTTTATTTCGTTGGTGTTAACATCACCAAATCTGGTTCATCATCTTCTTCCTAGTACCTAGACTCTAATGCTTTTTAAACATTATAAGTAACTCTAAGGTTTTTTTTCCTCTCTTCATCTTAATATTGACTCTCAAATAACCTCAATTAGTAAGTACAATCATAGTGTTATTGATATTAGTAATATAATAATTTACCTTTTCAACAACTTAATACAAAAAAAAAAAAAATTATCATGTTTTGTATGGATTAGGCATTAAAAAGAATTTACTTTCTATTGGCTTCTTAGCATAGAAGGGCCATATTTTATTTTATTTTTTTAATTTTATACAATATTTTTGCTTCATCAAAAATTCATATGGTATTTCATTGCTTGAATTGACCATCAAATCTTTGATAGAGTCTACTACCTTCATTTCACTACTCTTCTTAATTGTTTCAAAATTAACTCCTACTCACTACATACAACATCAATACTCTCTATCACCTCCATTGCTGCCTTTTGAAATCATAGATTAAGTCACATCAATCTACAAGGTCTCTATTACATGATCTAATATCATGCTATAGACAGGCTTTCTGCCATCTCTATTACTAACGATTCTTTTGCCATCTATCTCCAAGGAAAACAATCTTATACAATAAGCCGACAAATACAATAAAAAAATAACCCACTATATCTTCAAGCTAATTCACTCTAATATCATTAAACCCTTTTAAATCTCATCTTCCAATAGGATAGGCTACTTCATCACTTTTATTGACAATTATTCTTGGATGACTTTTTTTTATTTCATAAAATGAATAAATAAATAAATAAAAATTCTTTTCACCAATTCTATATGTTTTATCTCACCATTGAATTGCAATGTGACAACAAGCTTTATATTCTATATATTGTCAATGACAATGAATATATATATATATATATATATATATATATATATATATACTACCTTTCATGACTATTGTGTTGAATATGGTATCTATCAAGAATTCATCTAATTATATATTTTTTAACATAATAGCATTTCTAAATATCGTAATTATATTTTACAAGACATAATTAGATTCTTCTTCTTCAAATGTAATCTATCAAGCTTCTTGTAAGCCAAAGCAATCCAAACGACTTGTTTTTTATTTAATTAGCATATTATAAATGTTCACTTACACATAATACATACAAAATATTTAATTGGAGTCAAATCCAATATTTTCCACCTCTAAGTCTTTTGCATTATTTTCTATTCAATAGATACTACTTTGGCCTAATACAAACTTGTTCCTTATTTGAAATGGTATATTTATTTTAGCCTTGATGATCACACGAAAGTTAGCAAATACTTCAATACATTCAACTATTGTGCCATTGTCTCGAAGGATGTCCAATTTTTAGATGAAAATACATCTTATGTACTTTTTGTTGATTTTTTTTTACTTATTTTTTTCCTCCTCCCTTTTTCCTCTATGATAGTTTTTTTTTCAAGTATTCTCTACTAGTCCATACAATTGTTAGATCTAAAAATTCCTCTGATTCTACCAAGCTTGAATCCAGTCCCTTTCATCTCTATGGAGCTCTCACTATCATTTCTATAATCTCCTATAATTACACCACTTGCTCCAATTATTCCACCTCTCTTCCTTAATACTCTATTTTGTTGCTCCATCTGATCATGTCATGTCTTAAGCACCCACCAAGATAATATCACATTGGACCTCACCAAAACCTTCATTGGAGTTATTAAAGAAGGTGGCAAATATCTCTTCTATTAACTAGTTGCTCCCAATATCCACTAGATCTAAGCCTTGCTCAAAGAATATATCACAATCACCTTGTTTTCTGTCTAAATTATTCATTATATGGTTTCCATCAAACTCTTTAAACTTCATATAATATAATCAATGCCAACTTACAATACTAGGGTCCCTACAAAATCGATGTTGATTCCAACATCGATGAATCATGTTTCTTCTCTATCTAATATTATACATCGACGACTTCTATATTATAGATTTTTATCCTTGCAACATCTTTAATTTCAAAGCACAACTCCAACAATTATACAAAATGTCAGACCTTGGTTGATTATAGAATTTTCTTGGCATCTAATTCAAATAAACTTCTTGCAATATTATGATCCACCAAATAAGCTATATGTACAAGTTCAATATAAAATATCATGTAAATTTTGCTCCTATTTATGTATTGTTGTTTGACTTTGTTAAATTAAGCAAAGATACTCATTCATTATTATTGTTTAATAATATAATTATATAGTAAAAAATAAAAAAATATGGATGTTATTATAGAAGAAGCTAGTAAAAATACGTAATAGAAAAATAAGAATAAATGATAGAAAGATAATAAAAAATTTAGCCCTAATATTGTCTTTTATAGAAGGGACTTTTATTTACTTTGTAGAAGAATAAATGAACCAAATCAAAGTAAATGAGATGAGAAATTGATATAGATATATTTAGAAGAGTTTAAAATAGGTTAAAGCAAAAATTACCTCAAATTATCAAAAATTGATACTTAGAGACGACCAATTATTAACCTAAATTGAAATCAGATCCCAAGGCACAAAACTATATCCATACAATGACTCGGAGGTTCTTTTTGAGATCAAAGAAAGGGATTTGAGAGCAGACTTGAGAAGAGATATTTGAGCATTGATTTTATGTAATTAAAATTAATATTGAGATTTTGAAGAAATTTTTAATTTAATAAAGTTCTTAGTGGATTTAGGTTAAGAAAAATAAAAATATGTTTATAAATTTGAAGATTTCTTGAGTTTTGTAGCATATGTATGACTGAAATTTGAAAAACTTATTGGTTTGCTT